AAAAAAACCATAAGGCAGAGTAGAGTGTAGGCAGCTAGGTGGCACAGTGGATACAGCACTGGGCCTAGAGTCAGGAAGACTCATCTTCATGAGATCAAATCTGGCCTCAGACACTTACTATCTGTATGACCCTGGGCAAGTCACTTAACCCTGTTTGCCTCAGTTTCCTTATCTGTAAAATGAGCTGGAGAAGCAAATGGCAAACCACTCTAGTATCTTTGCCAAGAAATCCCCAAATGGGATCATGAAGAGTTGGTCACAACTGAAAAAGACTGAACAACAATTCCCTATACCACTGAAATCTCAGATCCCATTAAAAAAAATAACTAGGCATAAAGGATCAGGGTAAAGTAGGGAGGCAGGGTAGAAGAGGAGAGAATCCAACATTTCTGGTCCATCAGGGCATCAGGTGTAATTCCTGCCTCATAGCTTAATGGCCCCTCAAAGCTATGTAACTTGTACCTCTTCATCCTTAGGAAGAAAGATTCCCCAGCATCCTAAGGAAAGCTGATCTCATGTTATTACTGACCTAACCATCTCATAATGTCACCTGCTGGATATGATTGGTCCCAAGCCTTCTATGCACTCATGTGACAGGAACTGAGTATAGGTAAGAGATTGAAAGGCTAAGAAAAAGAACAGCTATAGAGGGTGTCTGGCTGATCAATCAAGCTATTTAAGAACCAAAGAGGAGCCTGGCTGTGTTTTATTTCCTAGAGGCAGTGTGGCCTGACTTACCTTGGGTGGGGGATCCTGGAAGGCTGTGGGCTCCAAAATTTTGGGTGTCCGGTAGCGGGTATTTCTCTCTTGTTCTTTAGCAATCTCTTTCTCCATCTGGTAAACATCACTGCCAGGGAGTTGATGAAATTAGGAGAGACAAGCTATATATTACAGATACCATGGAAGTTCTCTCCTGCTCTGTGTAAATACCCTCTGCCTCCCCTCTGAAGCCAGGGAAGGACTTAGGGCCAGATATTAGATTCTCTTTCCATCTACACAAAGAATATCCTTGGTTAAATCACCATGAAAGTGACAGTCACTAAGAGACCCCCATGTTTGACAAGATAGGTTAGTACTTGTGGCCCCTAGAATGGTCTCCTTTCCCCTTAGTATAACAAAAATTAACCAAGTATGGTATGTAAATATAATGGAATACTACCAAGCTTTTATAAAAAAAAAAAGAGAGAGAAACTGAAAAACTTCAGAACATATGCATGAACTGATGCAGAATGAGATAAGCAGAATCAGGAGAAAATACACCCAATGACTTCAATAATGAAATGAAATAAAGACTCCCCATATATACTCAAGGATCTGGTCCAAGGCCCAACTGTGTATAAAATGAAGTTTGTCTTCAATACTCATATAATTATAAACCTGTTACTATAATAATAACTCATATTCCTGTGGTACTTTAAGTTTTGCAAAGGAAACAACAACCTTAGTGACATAGTTATTGTGAATGTGATTACTTCCATTTTGTTTTTTAATTAAATTTTCTTTTTCAATTATCAAAGATTTATTTGTTCCTTACTGGGAGTTGCCTACACCAGAGGTACAAAAAATGTGGCCCAGTGTCTGCATCTGGCCTGCAACGCTCCTGCAACACTCCTGTGTTCTGAACAAAATTAAAAGGTCTTTGAGAAAATACTTAAAATACTTAAAGTAACTAAGAATACAATAAAACAAAGATAACATTACATTTTAAAACTAATTCAATATGCAGCCCATAGGGATCCTTATGTATGGATCAATGGCCCCCATTTCTATTGAGTCTGATACCACTGCCCTATACCAATGAAATCACAAATGTGGGCCAATTAAATCACAATTAATAAGCGTTAGTTATTATCACTCCTGGGAAACTAGCCCTGTGATCCTGGCAAGATGATGCTAATAGCATAGTATGGTGATGCTCATTGTCTTCGAGGCAGGCGGGGCTGGACAGCCCAATGGTCAGTTTGTAGACTCTAATGGCCAGGGGTGAAACAATGGGCTGGACATCTGTAGCGCTAGCATTCTGCCAATGAGCAAGGGACAGGATCATTTCCAGGGGTGTGTGGCAGAGCATCCTTTGCTTTATGTTTCATTCATTCCTTTTTCTTCGCATTAACATTTGAGGGTAAGCTACATTAAACAGGTAGTGTCATGCAGTGGACAGAGTTCTGAGCCTGTAGTCAGGAAGACATGGGTTCAAATCCTGCTTTGGACACTTACTAGTTGCGTAAGCCTGGGCAAGTAATCTATTTGATCCTCAGTTTCTTCATCCATAAAATGGGAATAACAATACCTATGGTATCTTTGTGACAGGTGAGCCTCAAATGGCATGATATGATGTGTGCCTGGGACATAGTAATTGATTAAAAAATGCTTTATCTATCTATTTAAAGCTTTATAAAATCAATGCTCATTTATTAGGTGCTTATTATAGGCAAAGAGCCTGACAGGTGGCTCAGTGGATAGAGCACTGGGTCTGGAACCAGAAAGGTCTAAGTTCAAATCTAGCTTCAGATACTTACTAGCTGTGTTACCTTGAGCAAGTCACTTAACTTCTGTTTGCTCTAATACACTGGAAAAGGAAACAGCAAACCACTCCAGTATCTTTGCCAAGAAACTGCATGGACAGCATTGGTCAACTATGTTCCACAAGGTCACAAAGAATTGGACACAACTGAGCAACAACAACTATAAGTAACACCTTGTGCTTGATCTGAGGACCACTGGTCAGTTTCATTTCAGGAGGATTCACCATTACTGGCCATTTTGGGCTGGCTTCCAGGAAATCTTGTCTTTTGGAGCTGTCCACCACTGCCTCCCATAGCGTCAATCCCTTGCCCCTATAAACCCTCTTCCCAAAGCCTCCCTGGCTCCCCACTTACCTAAGGCTGCATACAAGTTCTGTGAAGCGAGGTCGGTCACTGGGGTCATAGTCCCAGCACCGAGTCATGAGAGTATAGAGGACAGGAGGGCAGAGGTCGGGTTTGGGTAGCCGGTCCCCTTTCTCCAACACTCCAATTACATCCTTGTTCTCTAGCCAGAAGAAGGGCTGCTTTCCAAAACTCAGGATCTCCCACATGCACACAGCTAGGAAGAAAAATGAATACAAAAAGGGAAGGGGCTTAGCCACTAGAAGGAAGGCATTTCCACCTGAAGACTCCCCCAGAGCTGCCTTAACAAATGCCATGAACCTCCCAAACCAAATGCCCCCAAAACAAACAGGATTCCCATCAATTAGGGAGTGACTAGACAAATGGAGGTATATTAACATAAATGAATATTATTAGGCCATAAGAGATGAAAAATATGAAGAATTCAGAGAAACCTGGAAAGACTTGTATCAATTGATACAGAGTAAAGTGAGCAAACAAGGAGAACAATTTATACACTAACTCACTCTAAAAACAATTTTGAATGACTTAAGAACTCTGCTCAATACAATACCAACCATTATTCTAGAGGAGTGATGAAGAAATATGTGATATTCACCTCTTGACAGAGCCATGATGGACTCAAGGTAGAGAATAAGACATATATTTTTGGACATAGACAATAAAGGGACTTGTTTTGCATGATAATACTTTAATGCTATATGCTATGCATAATTGTTACAAGTGCTTTGTTCCTCCCCTCCTCAAGTTGACAGGTGGGACACGAGAAAAAGATTTTTGTTAACTGAAAATAAATTTAATTTTTTTAAAATGCCCTAAGAAATGACAAAGATGAGAACTTCAAAGGGAAGTGAGCAGAGCCAGAAAGATTTACATAATGATTGCAATAATATAACGAAAAATAGATTTCACTCAGATACAATCAGGACTTCAGGAGACTAATGATGTATTCCTCCCACCTTCTGGCAGAGAGGTGATGGATTAGAGGTGCAGAATGAGGCATACTTTTATGGATATGGCTAATATATGGATTTGTTTCACCTGATCACACTTGTTTGATGTAAGAGAGGGCTTTTATTGGGAGAAGTTAGTGGGTAATAATGCAAATATTGGGTAATGACTAAAGATAGGAAAAAAAAAACAGAAGAAAGGAGTGTCAATGAAACTGTAGTTAGTCTGAAAACAAGCCTATCGAGGGTTTATATTTGACACAAAACATTAAATAAGTATTCAAAAAAAAAAGCAGAAGGGGGCAGCTAGGTGGCGCAGTGGATAGAGCACTGTCCCTGGATTCAGGAGGACCTGAATTCAAATTCGACCTCAGACACGTAACACTAGCTGTGTGACCCTGGGCAAGTCACTTAACCCCATTGCCTAGCCAAAAAATTTTTTTTAAAAAAGCAGAAGAAAGTTCAAAAGCAGACATAGATAAGCAGAGCAGTTTTACTACTACCATCAAACATGACCTTGTGTTCTTCATCCTTAAAAAACCTTTCACTATACCTTACTATCCCCTCAAACACTATATTTCTCCTCTTTTTCTCACCAAAATTCCTAGGAAAAAAACTGTTTTCATTTTTTCATTCATTCCTTAACCTTTTGACTTCTGATACTATCCCTCAACTGAAATTACCCATTCCAAAGCTATCAACAATCTCTTAATTGCCACATCTGATGGCCTTTCTCAATCCTCATCCTTCTTGACCTCTCTGCAGAATTTTACAATATTCAAGACCCTCTCCTCCTGGAGGATATTCTTTTCTCTGACTTTCCATGACTCTCCTTTCTCCTGGTTCTCCTCCTATCTGATTTAGCAAGCCTTCTTAGGTTCCTTTGCTAGCTCTCTTATTGTAGTGTGTCTGAAGGCCCTGTCCTGGGCCCTCTACTTCTCTTCTCTCTCTACCCTCTCTGGTAAACTTATCACTTGTTATGGGTTCGATTATCATCTCTCTGCAGAAAATGCAAAGATCTCAGCCTCAAGCTCCCTTGAGCTTTAGTCCTATATCACTATCTAGTTATCGGACATTTCAAACTGGATTTTCCAGACTTCTCAAACTCAACAGATCCAGAATAGAACTCTTTCTCCTCAAACCCATCTTTCTTCCAAACTTTTTTATTTCTGTAGATGGCACCACCATTCTTTCAGTCTTCGGGTTTATAACCTTAGCATAAATCATCAAATCCTCCTCTCCCTTGCCCCATATACACAATCAGTTGCCCCATATTGCCTTCTCTGCCTCTATAACCTTTCTTGTACATGCCCCCTTCTCTCTCCTGCCAGCTTAGTTCAGGTCCTCATCAACTCTTGCCTAGCCCATTTTCACAGTCTCCTAATTGGTGTCTCTGCCTCATGTCACTCCCCACCCCAGGCCATTCTCCATGCAGCTGCCAAAGTAATGACTAAGTACAGATCTGGCCATGTCACTCCAAACTAGTGGCTCCCTACAGCCTTTAAAATATAATCTAAATCCAAGTTACCATTAAAAGGCCTTTATAACCTGGCCCAAATCTATCTTTCCAGCCTCATTTCTCCTCCTGCACTTTGAAATCCAGCCAAGCTGGCCTTCTCTCTGTTCTCCATACAATTTGTCATCCATCCTCTATCGCTCTGCTTTTGCATTGGCCAGCCCCCATGTTGTTAAATATGTCCTCTCTGTCTCATACAATCTCTCCCTTCCTTCAAGATGGAGTTCAGCCAGCCCCTTCTACATGAAGCCTCTTCTCTTCAGGTCTATATGCACAAAATAACACCCATCTTTTCTAAAATGGCCAATATGTGGATTTGTTCTATTTTATCACACTTGTTTGTTACCAGGGTGGGAGAAGATGGTCACTGGAGAAAGGTAGCAATGCAAAGCAAGAAAAAGGCATCAATGAATTATTTGAAAAGGGTGAGTGGGGGAAGCAAAAAAAACCTAAAGGATAAATAAGCTTTTTAGAACTATTGATTTCCTGTTCTTTACCAATCCTCTGGCAAATCACTTGACTTCTTTAAATATCAATTTACTCATCTGTAAGATAAGGAGGTTTGGATTAGATGACCTCTAAGATCAAGCTCCATGATCTCTTAACGATCTCTGAATATGGAGTTGCTAGTAACAAAGAGTCAAAAGGAATGACCATGAGGCCTCAGGCCTCTTCTCTGAGGGTTTAACTTATATACTCAACTGCCTTCTCCAAAGTCACACAACTGTTCTTCGACCTTACCCACTTTGAATCCTCAGAGCATTTCTGAGCCTTAACTTAGTTTCAAAATGACCTTCCATTCATAATAGTTGTTTCCAGGAGTATCACCAGGCACTGCCCATGGTCAGTCCTCGACTTCACCCAGACTTCAGCCCTTCTGGGATTCATTAGTTGGCAGGGCTAAGCAGACAGTACAGGGAGGAGCCACATACTGGCTTCATCCCCAGCACGAATCTGGGATGTCCAACCATCCACCATTGAGGAGAGAAGAGATAAGAAATACTTTCCTCTATTTCCCTGTGCTCCTACTCACCAAACATCCAAACGTCACTGGCTGTTGTGAACCGACGGAAGTTGATGGATTCAGGGGACATCCATTTGATTGGGAGGCGAGTCACAGATGCTTGAGGGGAAATGAATATTGAATAGGAGTTATTTTCATAACTGGAAAGATCAGGGATGATAATACTCATCTCCAAAGACCTTCACCCTGAACTCCCTCCCTACCCATCCATCTACCCAACACAGATCTTCCTGGTTCTGATTTTGGGTTTCATCAACAATTCTTTGATAGCAAAGTAGAGATTAGGAACAGCTACTTCTTACCTTTGTAATACTCTTCATCTTCAATGTACCGAGAAAGACCAAAATCCCCAAGTTTCACACATTCAGGAGAAGCCACCAAAATGTTCCTGACTGCAATGTCCCTGTAGAAAGAATGATAATGTTGATGATGATAATGATGAAAAGAAGAAGGATGTTAATAGTCAACACTGACAGTGTTTTAAGGTCTGCAAGGTGTTTTACATGTATTATTTCATTCGAACATCACAACAATCTTGTGACTCAGGCACTATTATTACCCTCCTTTTACAGATGAAGAAAAGGAAACTGAAAGGGGTTAAAGTGACTTTCCCAGGGTCACATATTTAGTAATTGTCTGAGGAGGGATTTATACTCAGGTCTCCCTGACTCCAAGTTCAACACTCTATTCATAATAGAGAAAAAACTCCTGGGATGAGATGAATGGAAATGAATTCTGGCCAGGCCCTCTGGCTTGTGCTTTGTATGCCAAAGCAGGATCTTGGTTCACTTCAAGGAAATATAGTCCCAAGACTTTGGCATTGAGCTCCAATGTTCCTTCAGCATCTCATCTCCATCACCAATGAATAAAAATCACATTTCCCTCTCCCAGGCTATCTTCTCTGTACTCTGTATGTATCATGTACATACTTTAACAGGACTGGCTCAGAATGCCTTTGACAGTATCTTTTCATATGGCAGAGGCTGGGGAGCCTGCTTTTAAGAGAACTGGAATGATGTGTAAAAGAAATGCCGTGGAGAAACATCGGAGCTTTAGTAAGCATTCTGTAATTTGTTCTGGTCGTCTAACCATAAGGTTAGGAGAAGCCCCTTTGACTGTTTGCGTGGTTAGAACTGGGGGAGCCCTCAAAAAGCACTAATTAGAGCTTCAACCATTCTGGATTCAGCCATTGGTGGATCAGTCCTCTTGGTTTGACTCCTTATTCGATGAGAGACAATGCTATAAAGGGAAAGTCAACAGGTCCTTTCCCCCAGAGGCCAACATGTGGTCTATGAATATAAGGCTAAGTTCCTTGCCGCCCTTAGTATCTGCTGTTTCATTTTAGGTGCGACCTTATTATTTTCCAAAGGTCAGGAAAATGAGTCCTGACCTAAGTCTGGGAAACCAGAAGTCTGGGAATATGAGGATCTGGGAGTCAGAATTCATTCAGATTTTGCAGTCAGCCCAGCACTGGTACCCTAAGGAGCAAGGACCTTTGGGGTCCAGCCCAGTGATAGCTGAAACAAGGACTCATCCACATTTGAACATAACCTTGGTGGGGCCAGTGTTGTGTGGAAATTTTGCTAAGTTTGAGCTCACTCTCCCCAGAGATAGAGGTGTTATAGTAGAGAGTATGTCATGAGGTGTTGGGAAGAAATATTTGATTTTTGCTATTACAATATCTTCAAAGTAAACATCCTCTTCTAAATGTCAATTGATGTTAAGTGGTTAAATTGAATTTGGGTACCTAAGGGGGGGGAGGGATACAATGAATGGGGAGCTTGAGCTGATAGTATTAAAGAACAGGTATTCCCAACTTCTAGGGGTACCACTAGAACCCTGAAGATGAGGTGTAGTTGGCCGTTCTCTGAGACAATAGGCCCAGAAAGTACTTGCCACACATATAAAATATAGATGGTATAAAAGGAATGTAATCGGGGGAAGCTACTAGGCGGTGCAGTGGATAGAGCATAGGCCCTGGAGTCAAGAGGACCTGAATTCAAATCTGGCCTCAGACACTTGACATTAGCTGTGTGACCCTGGGCAAGTCACTTAACCACCATTGCCTCACCAAAAGAAAAAAAAAAGAAAAAAAGAATGTAATCTCAGAATGTAAGCTCCCTGAATACAGGGGTCGTTTTTGTTTTTTAATTTGTCTCCTCAATACTGGCACATACAGGTCCCAATTAATGTGAATAGTGAATCTCATGAAATGGTCACATGCATTCAAATTTGTACTATTTGAAGTTAAATTATCTGAAATATGGTTATTAGTCTCAGCTCAATTGAAATATGCCATGTTAATTCAAATTCAAATATACGCAACTACTTCATAGGATTCATATTATTCACACTAATCAAAACCTAACTGTTGTAAGTATTTAATGAATGTCTATTGATTCATTGATTGATTTTATTTTTGGAGGATCTAGTCTTTCATGGTTTGATTACACTTCTTGGAGCTAGGGTATGCAGTAAGGTGGAGAATGAAATAGCTCCATGCCAACCTGGTAGATCAATATAAGTTGGAGAGAGAAAAGATGGTTTCTGTGTGGAACTCCAAGTGGGAGGAGGTGGGAAGATCAGGATGCAGATAGTAAGTAGGGCAAATCACTTACTTCAATATTTCAAAGATCTGCGGTTTCACAGGTGTGAAAACTTCCTTCACTGGTGTAGATCACAACTTTAGTAGATGATCACCATGAATTGAGGTGGCCAAAGAAAAAAATTCTTTATCTGGTGTCCCAACTCCTAATGATGAGCCTCACCCAATTTAGCTAGCTGGTCCTTGAATGACGGACATATCGTCAGTCCATCATTGTCCCGCCCCCCAGTGGAAGCTTCTACTTGACCTGACCTGGCAGTGCCCATTCTCCACTGACACAATCTTCAGGAGCCCAGGGTCACCTTCCTGGCATGATGAGGCATCCGAGGAAGACTTCAGCAGGCCAGAGTAAATGTCATCTATTGACGTGATTGGGTTTGATTCAGTGGAGGACATGGGTACTCTAAGCTAGGAGTTAAAAGGCCCTTCCCCCTCACCCTCGACCTAGTAATTTCAGGTCTTCCAGAATGAGTTATGAGAACTGATAGCCAAGAAAGCAGATCTGGCCAAGGTTAAGAGACTATCTTAACCAAACAAGAGATAAAGACAATTACAAAAGATTAAAGTGATCATTCTTATGACATGAAGTTGAAAAGCTTTTGCACAATCAAAATTAAGGCATTTAGGATTAGAAGAGAAATGGTTAACTGGGGGGAAAGCGTTTTATCAGATTTCATAGATACCAACTAAGATAGAAAGAGAACTAACAGAAACATATGGCCAAAAGCCATTTCCTGATGGAGAAATGATCGAAGTATCTGAACAAACAATTCTGCAAACTGTTAATAACCTTATGAAAGAATGCTCCAGATCCCTAATAATAAGAGAACTGCACATCAAAACAACCCTGAAGGTTCACCTCACATTCAGCAAATTGTTTCAGATGGCAAAAGATAGGAATAGTCAATGTTGGAAGGGTTGTGGAAAGACAGATGCACCAATGCATTGTTGGTGGTGGAGCTGTGAATCAGTACAACTATTCTGGGAAGCAATTTGAAATTATGCAAATAAAGTGAGTAAAATGTCTATAACTTTGACCTAGAGGACACTTTGAGTCATATATTCCAAAGAGGTCACTGAAAAAGAGTAAAGTTCCACATCCATCAAAATACTTGTAGCAGCACTCTTTGTGATAGCAAAGAATCATAAACAAAGTAGAAGCTCATTAACTGGGGAATAGCTAAACAAATTGTGATATATGACTATAACAGAATATTACTGTGCTGTAAGAAACAATAAATTTAATGAATAAAGAGAAGCATAGAAAGATGTACATGAATTGGTACAGAGTGAAGTAAGCAGAACCAAATATATATATATATATATATATACACATGATGACTGAAATGATGTAAATGGAAAGAAGACCAACCACAAAAAAAAAATGAAAGTTGCAAAATTACAATGAGGCCAAAATATGGCCCCAAAGAAGAGAATGAGAAGACATTTCTCCTACTGACTCTATTCCACTCTTTTGCAGAAGTCCATGGGTGTGGAGCATTGCATATGTTTGTAGATTTTTTCTATACATTAACTGATTTTGACAATTTTTTTCTCATTACTGTTTTTCTTTTGTTTTCTTTAAAAATATTTATAATATGAAATGGTACTCTGGGAGCAAGGGGAGGAATTCTGGGTGATATAAGAAGCAAAAGATATCAATAAAAATTTATTGTTTAAAAAAAGAACTGATGAACTCTGAGTACAGAATGAAGCATATTTTTTTTTCGTTTTTTAAAATTTTTCTTGCTTTTTTTGGACAACACAGCTAATATGGAAATATGTTTGGCATGACTTCAAATGCATAATGGTCATTGTATTGCTTGCTTTTTCAATTGGTGGGGGAAGGCTGGAGGAAAGGAGCAAATTTTGAACTGAAAATAATTTTTAAAAAAGATAATTTAGCAGCTAGGTGGTGCAGTAGATAGAGCACCAGCCCTGAAGTCAGGAGGACCTGAGTTCAAATCCGGCCTCAGACCAAACACTTGTCACGGACTAGCTGTGTGACTTTGGGCAAGTCACTTAACCCCAATTTGGGAAAAAATAAAAGAATACATTCTAATGGGGCAGCTAGGTGGCGAAGTGGATAGAGCAGTGGCCCTGGATTCAGGAGGACCAGAGTTCAAATCCGGCCTCAGACACGTAACACTTACTAGCTGTGTGACCCTGAGCAAGTCACTTAACCCTATTGCCTAGCCAAAAAAAAAACAAAAAAAAACCCAAACAAACAAACAAAAAAAGATAATTTTAAAAATCTCTTTTAAAAGGATGGTCCTCTGAGATAGGGAAAGGGAAGGATACAGGGGAATATTTAGGTGATGTCAAAACAAAATATATCAATAAAGTTTTTTTTTTAAAAAATCATCTCAAATCAAAAGTAAACATAACAAAATTATAAATATTAAGTGGGATTCATATGGAGAGATATGAGAAGATACCTCTAACCTACCCCTTTGTGAAGGTGTTACACATTGCATATGTTCAGATTTTCTCAATGTATCAGTCAGTTATACTGACTTTTTTCCCTCTCTTGTCATGTGAGAAAGCCACTAGGGATAGGTAGGGGGAAGAATATACGGGATACTATGGTAATGTAGAAAACAGAAACATCAATTTTTTTAAAAAAAGTATCTTTAAAAAAGAAAAAATTCTCCCCAAATTAAGTGATTGTCCTCATCATAACCCTGCTCCACTCAAACATCCTGGAGAGTAGGCTATGGCAGACTTTCCCCCTGACCCTCTGAGCCTTAAATCAAAGTGGGGGAGTGGGAGGATCCCAAATTCTAAGAGTCAAAGGACCTTGATTCAAGGTCAAACTCCAAGGCTCACTATTGGGTGACACTGGGTGAATCACTTCACTTTCCAGGCCTCAGATGTTTCATCTTTAAAATAAGGGGAGGTCCCTTCCGGGTGTGGGCCTATGATCCTGTGGACCCCTGGACTCTACCATCCTCCCTGTTGTCATTCCCTTGCCCCCACCTACCTGTGGACACAGCTGATGCTCTCCAGGTAAGCCATGGCCTTGCATATCTGCAGCGAATACAAGATGAGGGTGAGCACCTTTAGCGAATTCTTATTGTGCTCCAGGTAGTGTCCAAGCTGCAGGAGAAGGAGAAAACAGACCATCAGAAAAATGGGCTGAGACTTCTACAAAAAGTGTGAGCATTGGCCGTTAGGTTCCAGGCTGCGGCTAAGGCCAAAGGCTCCATCTGATTCAATCCAACAAGCATTTGTTAAGCACCTTCTCTTTTGGAGATACAAAGGTAAAAATGAAACAGCCCCTGCCCTCAAGAAGCTTATATTCTGCTGGAGGGAAAACATATATACAACAAAGTAAATATGAATTATAGACCAAATAAATACAAAGTGATTACAGGTATGGGGGGAAAGAATGTCAACTAAGGGGATCAGGAAATGCTTCTTGTAGGATGTAACTGACATGTAATCAAAGGATCATAGACTTGGGAGTTAGAAGCAACCTCAGAGGTCATGAAATCCAACCATCTCATTTTTCAAGTGAGGAAACTGAGGCACACAGGGGTTAAGTGACTTGCCCAGGGCCACATAGCTAGTAGGTATCTGAGATAGTCTTCCCTGATTCAAAGTCTCCTGGCCTATCTACAACACTACATTGCCTCTCAGTAAGCTATGCTTCCTTCTGCAGAAACTTAAAAGTAGCAAGAGGTTCCAAGTGGAAGAGGTAAGGAGGCAGGACATTCCAGGTGGGGCCCAGAGAGGTTGGATATGGAATGTCATGTACAGTCAGGGAACATGGCAAGTAGAATATGTGAATGGGAGTGATATGTAATTAGCCTGGAAAGACAGGCTAAAGCTAGATTGTGAAGGGCTTCAAATGCCAACTAGATGGGTTTGTATTTTATCCTAGAGGCAATCAGGAGCCACTGAAGGTTCTTGAGCAGGGGAGTCATATAGACAAACCTATGGTGTAGGAATATCAGCTTAGTGGCTATCTGGAAGGCACATTAGAAAGGCAAGAGGCTAAAGGCAATGACAGCAATTGGGAGGTTACCACAATAGTCCAAGTGGCAGGTGATGAGACCATGCATGATTACCTAAGGATATTTTTTCTGATAACACCTGGGAATCTAGTCACCTGGTTGCTCCTACTGAAGAAAGAAGGCACAATATCGAGATTCAGAGCCCATTCTAACCGTAAAATGCCTCACTCCCAGGAGCCCAGATTTGTCCTGGGTCAATTGTAAAACCAGATCCCCGGGTGGCTGATTTGCCCTTCCAGAAGCTTCTTTCCTCCCTCCCTCTCTGTGCTCACCTCTCCACATGGGTACAGCTCCATGATAATCCATGTGGGCTCCTCTTCAATGATACCAATCAGCTTCACAATATGAGGATGATCCAATTTCTTCATTAATACTAGGATGGGGCCAGGAGAGAACAGGGTCACAGCAAGTTGAGGGCATACACAGGAAGAAAAAAATGAAACTGAATACTAATTATAATAGCCAAATTTAATAGCTAAAAAATGTATCTCCTTCCCTGCTCTACAGAAGTAGGGGGCTATGGGTATAGAACAGAATATATATTGCCAGAATCATAAGTTGATGCATTGGTTAGTTTTGCTATACTACTCTTCCCCCTGCCCCTTTCTTTTTTATTTCTTTTCACAAGGGATGGATCTCTCAGTAGAAGAGAAAGGAGGGATATATTAGGAACTGAAGGTAATATTAAAATAAAAGATATATTTTATACAAGTTGAAAAAAATCCATTTGAAAGACTACAAATTGCCTCAAATTGGGGGAATAGTAGAGATGATTGTGGGGGAGGCTCAGGTGGAGGGGACTAGTCCCCCTTTATTTCCCAAGATGTCCTGTTTGGGCCTCATCAGCAATCCCCTCCCTGTCTTTCTGCCCCCACTGCTTCCTCTTCCTTCTCCTCTTGGCCTTCCCATCTCTGAGACTGCATTTCAACTTGGAGGCTCTGGGCCTGATAGAATTTTCCTCCTTCTGCCAACATCTGCTTGACTCCCTCAGCCAAGATCATCAACAACATGGGAGACAGAGTGGTTTAGTGGAGAGAGCTCCAGAGTCAGAGGGCCTCAGTCTATGTTCCACCTCTGTGGCTTACTACTTCAGTGACAAGTCCAGCGCCATGATCCTATGATCCGTCAAGCAGCTGACTTACCTGCTTCACTCATGAACTTCTCTTTATTTTCAAAAGTGCAGTCCTTCTTACAGGTCTTCACAGCCACATTGATCCGCTCTCCTTTCTGCAACAGATATATGCTCAGGACCCCTCGGTCCAGATTGGTAGCCTAGATAAAATGTCTCTGCCTACCCACTTCCCCTGGCATGACCCCTATGCCTCACCAGGCTCTTCCCATCAAGGCTGTGCCTGGGTAGAGTCCAGAAAAAGCTCTAGTTTTTCAATTCCAGTCTTTCTCAGTTCAATTAACTATGTCCTAGCTATGCTCCCTTTTCCTGACTAGTACCCACCTCACTTCTGGAAACCTCCCCTCCCACTCTGGGATCTTCTATAGAAACTCCCAGGTTCCTGGCTGACTTGTGTTTCTCTGTCTGTGGCCTAAAAGATGGGAAACTAATCAAACCAGGCCAAATGGAACTTACCCCCTCTTCTCTTAAAACACCCAAGTGGCCCAGACCTAGAACTTCCTTGACCCCAGAATAGCCCCAAGTTGCCCAGAAGGATGGAGCAGAGGTATAATATAGAAATTTAAGACTGTCATGGACTCTCCCCTCCTGCCATTGCCTGAAAACCATTGGGCTGAGGCTGCCTGGCTATATCCCTGGCCTAATCTTATCCTTGCCCTTTCTCAATCTGCTTTAGACATGTCAGTCCCAGCCCCAGTGTTAGGGACTCTGTGGGCTGCCCCAGTACCTTGCCTCTTGAGAGGCATTACGTTATAGTGGAAACAACCCTGTCTCTGGTTCAAAAGGCATAAGTTCAAATCCCAACTCTGCCATTTACTACCTATATGACCTTGGGCAAGTTAGTATACCTAGTTCAGCCTCAGTTTCCTCATCTATAAAATTAGGATGTTGGATCAGATGACTACTACCATCTCACCCTAACAGAATATAAGCTCCTTGAGAGAAGGGACTATCTACTTTTGTTTTTCTATCCCCAGTGTCTAGCACAGTGCCTGGTATGTAGTAAGAGCTTAATAAATGCTTACTACATCTGTTTCTTCCACTTAGCATTTCCTATCTCCCTCTTCCTTCAAACTGTACCTCTGTTCTATTCTTGTACTACTATGGTAAGTTACTGTCTTTCCCAATCACCCCCACTACCTCAAACATTTCATGACCATTTCTGCTACCAAATGGGCACACGTCCAAGCCCTTCATGACTTATCGACTATCCCCCTTACATGTTAATAGCTTGTGCCCCAGACCACATGGTTAAGTAAACGAGAGAGGAAAGGGTTAGACCGGCTAGTACTTACATGGTTCTGGTAGACACCTTCATACACTTCTCCAAAGAAGCCTTCCCCCAGGATGCGGCCCAGAACCACATCTTCCCGGGCAACACCATATTGCAAACCTGAGGACAGTAAGAAAACCATGAGCCCCAAAGAGGGGTAAACGTATGACAGTGGTTCTTCCCAGGAACCTGACTACTCACAGGAGAAAATAAGGTACTAGAAATAGATAGAAATGCAGACTTGCAGGGACCATTAAGGTTAGCACTTGCATCTCACAGATGAGGGATCTGAGTCCCAGAGAAGCTAAGTGATTTGCCCAGAGACACACAGCTAGTAAGTATCTGAGGTGGGATTTGAACACAGGTCCTCTGAACTCCAAATCTAGCTCCCTGACCATTATGCACACTGCCAGTTACCTGAAGGCTCCAGGCTTCCTCAGTCACCTAGCCACAGTGCCCCTGATCAGGATCCAGTAGTCTAAGCATGGGAGGGGCAGAGTAGTAATATGGAAACTGCAATGAATTCTGGTCACTTCAGGGCACCTAGGATAGTCACTGAGTGATTATATGCCCTTGGACAAGTAGTTTAATCTCTCTGGTCTTTAGTTTCCAGGAATTGAACTTGATAGTTTGTGATAGGCTCAGAGATCGAGAGATGGAAGGGAGTTCGGAGACAGTTTAGTCCAACCTCCTTAGCTTAGAAAAGAGGAAACTGAGGCTCAGGGAAGTTGTGACTTGCCCAAGGCACACAGCTGATATCATAGGTGGGATTTAAACCCACATTCTTTGTTCTCAAAGTCAGTGTCTTTCCATTGTTCCATTCTATCTCCCTCAAGTCTCTTTCAGCTCTGAGTTTCTATATATCTGGGCTTCCCTGTTTTCTCAGACCCAGAAAAGAGTTTTCCCTCTTGGAAGACTTGGGACATGTTGTCTACTTCTGTGATATCACCTTAGTAGAACCCAGGAGAGTGTCAGGTTCAATACATGTTGAATGAATGAATACTAACATTAAGATCATTCAAATTAATAATGACTCAGGTATATCCCTGTCTATGCATAGGACTGTTGGTGACAAATATGGGAAAGAAGGAAGGAAAATTCTCTTCATGACATTCCAACCACCTTATCTGTTCACTCAAGGTCTGGACACTGACTATGGCTTTCATCGTTCACTCAGCAAATATTTATCAGGCACCTACTATGCACAAATTGCTGTGCTATGCACTGAGGATTTCTATTGGGGGGCAGAGGAAAACTTGCAATTTTGCCCAGTACCTACCTCCAGACCTCCGCAGGGTTTCATCAGGAATTTCTGCATAAATGTCTGACTCTGGAATGACAAAGAGAGGGTCCATCCCACTGTTGAGACATCCCCCAAAAACATGAACCTAGGAATCCAGTGGGTGGCTCTGTTCCCCACTGCTCAGGGATGATGGAGCTGGCACGAGCCATGTCCCTATATTTTTGGAAGATCAGGCACCCTACTGCATGGTAATTCTCTCCATTATCTGATAACCGAGGGGGCAGGAGGTTTTGAGGGGAGAATGGAACTGGTGGGTGTGGGTGGAAAAACAGGGACAACGTTGCTCCCTGGGCCTTTTGTCCACCTGGGGTTGAATCTTTCCAGCATTCCCTGCCTACTATCATCAGAACTGGTCCCTAGAATGGGGCCAGAAGGTGGAAGGACCCCCCTGCCTTCTCCCTCTTCATTAGCCTCTGGTAGGCACTGAAAGCCCAGTGAGAGAATGAAGGCAACCCCTCGGATTAGGCCTTTAACTGGAATCATGGTTGCTGAGGGCAGAGCCAGCAAGAAGTTGAGGCTGCCTTTCTTTCTATTCTGAGGGAGTCTTTGGAAGGGTTTTGAAAGAGGCAGAGCAGGGAGGGAAGAGATAGACTGATTGAAATACAGAGCTTACCAATGCTGCAGCTTTCTGAGAACTGGGATCTCCTCTCTCCAAAGTGCCTGTACAAGAGGAAGCATTGAGAGGACCAAAATTAGAAGTGAGTCTGGGCTTAGACCTTCGGATTGGACCCCACCAGTGCATCCCAACCCCATACTCTGTAGTCTAGTCTCCTCTCCAGATGGTCTGACCCATGTCTACCCTCCTTCAATACTAGGAGATCGCTATTTCTAGTATGGAAAACGGCCACCACTTCCCCATTCCCTCCATCCCCAGCAATGATTTCAATTACCACTGCCAAGTATGGGGATGTAAGATGAGATGAACCACCCCACTAAAAGGAGCCAGTCTACAATTAAGACACAGGAACATCCCAGTAAGGAGCTGATGAGGTAGGATCTAGGCCAGCTAATCTATAAAAGTCGAAGTTTCTATTTGTCCTTCCTTCTTTCACACCGGACCCATTCCAAGTCCCACTCCCAGCTGTCCCACTCTACTCACAGGGTAGGGATCTGAGGCAGGCTGTTCCGCTTCTCACCATCTGAAAGAGATACAAAGAAGTGATATTGGGGAGAGAGAAGGAGTCTGGGTTCTAGGTGGTCACTTGCCATCCTCCACCACTCCTAGAACTTTCTTCTGTTAGTTAGAATGATTCGTAACCTGACTCTCATGGAGTTTCCTGATTTTGGAGTAGAGATTGGATGTTGGGGTTGGAGAAGGTGAGCTAATCATTATTGGGATCAGAGTTAGAACTGGGAGGGATCACAGTGGCCAATCTACTCCACTAGTGGTTAAAGAACTGAGACTGAGAGGCCAAGTGAGTTTCCCAGGGTCATACAGGTACTAAGTAAAAGAACCGGGATTCAAACCCAGGTCCTCTGACTCCAAACCCAGCTCTCTTTCCACTTTTCTTCATTCAGGTCTTTCATTCAATGCAGTTTAATAAGCATTTATTATATATGCCTGGCACCATGCTAGACGATAGGGTTATAAAACAAGTCCTGCCCCAAAGGAACTTACATTCTATTGGGGGGAAACAACACTTATGTCTAAAATATTAACAGAATAAATACAAAGCAATTTTGGGAGAGTTGGGACTAGCAGCCTGGGGTTTCAGAAATGACCTCTTGTAAGAAATGGCATCTGAGCAGACCCTTGAAGGGAGTAGTGTAAGTGAGGAGGATGAGCATTTCAGCATGGGGGACAGGGAGGAAGGAACCAAGATGATGAGGAGGTTGGACTATGGCCCCTGAGCTCCCATCCAGCTCAACAGATCTGAGCCTATGCATCAGGAGAGAAGACAGGGCCCACCCTAAAGACAATCCCAAGGCTTCTCTTCCCATTGCCCAATTAGCTTCCTGCAGGCCTGACCTCGGGGATTCCTCAGCCCCACTCCCATCCCCCAATTACCTGTTAGAACATGCCCACCTTTCTTGGGGCAAACGATGAGAGAACCCTTATGTTCACCCTGTATCCGGCAATAACCATCAATCAGATCAGCCATATTCTCAGCCTCAGCCAGGGAGGAGGTTTTGATGGACAAGGACTGCAGAGGAAAAACCCGTGAGGACTGAGATCCATGGGAACCGTGGTGAAAATGTCCCCAGGGTAGACATGGTGGGGCCAGTCAGCCGAATCTTCCCATGCAAGAGCTGGGGGCAGCCCATGGTCTCCAGATATACTGCCTAGGCTTCTGCTCTGTTCCTCCAGCTCTGTTTCTCAGAACTTCTTCTTCTTTTTGGAGGCAATTGGGGTTAAGTGACTTGCCCAGGGTCACACTGCTAATAAGTATCTGAAGCTGCATCCTGACTCTAGGACCAGTGCTCTATCCACTGCGCCACCTAGCTGCCCCTCTCATAACTTCTTGAGATCTACCTTCTGCATCTTGAGATCAATCTCTTTGACCAGCTCCCTAATAATAATGGTAGCTAGCGTTTAAATAGCTCTTTTAAGGTTTGCAAAGCATTTTACAAATAGTATCTCATTTGATCCTCACAACAACCCTGGGAGGTAGTTTCTATTATTATATTATTACGATTCCCATTTTACAGATGGAGAAACTGAGGCAGACAGAAGTTAAGTGATTTGTCCAGCCTCATGCAGCTATTAAACATCTGAGGTCACATTTGAACTCAGGTCTTCTTTACTCCAAGTCCAGTGTTCTATCTACGTCACCACCTAGCTGTTGCTAGCCTTAAATCCTATTTGCCTTCACCAGTACTAAAAATCAAGCACTGATATTTTCCACATAAGTACCCACCTCCTAAGACACTGCTCCCCTGACTCCTTCACAACCTGAAACACTGTCGAAGAATTGGATGTTCTTTTCTCAATCAGTAATTACAACAGCTCGAATTTAATTCAAATTGCTAGGTGGAATCATGAATAGAGTTCCAGGCTTACACTCAAGAAGACCTGAGTTCAAATCCTGCCTCAAACACTTACTACCTATGTGACCCTTGGCAAGTCACTTATCTCTCCAATCCTCAGTTTTCTCATCTATAAATTGGGGATGATGATAATAGCACTTACTTTGAAAGGTCAAGTGAGGAAAAAATGGAGATTAAATGAGAAAACAGGTTAAGTCCTTTGCAAACCTTAAAGTACTACACAAATGTTAGCTATTGTTATTATTTAGTGTATTAAGGTTTGCAAAGGGCTTTTGTAGTGGATGCCACGTTTTCCCCAAACCACAAGCCCTAAGTGGCTAACTGGGCCATATGGTGCAGTTAGAAATTCAGTGTACATGTGCAGCCCCTGGTCATGATTATGTAACATGGGTGACCCAGAACAAGGATACAGTTATCATTAAAATAGGATATGGTCCTTTGGAGACATCTGGCCTATTCAAGTTCCAAATTAGGCAAGAGAACCTTACCTGCTTCACTATCTGGCTAAACGTGCTAAGGCCTGCCATTGATAGGTCCTCCCTTCCTTCCTGAAAGCTACTGTTGCTACCAACATGCACACATCCTCATGGGAACTGGGGGATATGGGGAAATCAGCATCAATGTATTATGTAACCTTGTTAAGTATCTGCATATATATCCTTGCTGCTTTTACCTAGTTAAATCACTTTGGATTTTTTTTTTTTGTCATCTGCCTCACTGTCTCAATCTTCCCAAATTCCAACTTTGCTTTTGGGACCAGTGAGCACCCTGCCCAGAACAGCTTTACATACATTATCTCATCTGATTCTTACAACAACTTTGTGAGGTATTATTATTATTATTATTATTATTATCATTCCTCATTTTATAGGTGAGGAAACTGAGGGTTGAAGAGGTTAATGACTTGCCTAGGGTCATGTAGCTAGTAAGCATTACAAACAGAATTTGAACCCAGGTTTTCCTGACTACAAGTCCAGGGCCCTATCCATACTGTCTCAGCTGACAGTGGGAAATTGAAGAGTAACATGGCATCATGGTTAGAATGCTGGACTTAAAGTCAGGAAGACTTGGGTTTGAACCCAAAGAAAAGGATAAACTTCCTCTGCCCTCAAAGAGCTCACCTTCTAATAGGAGAGATAGCATGTATATATATAGGCAGATACAGAATATATAGAGTAGACTAGAAGTGATTTCCTAGGGGAGTTCCCCTACAATGATGAAATCACAGATTTTTCACATAACCTCATAACCGGAAGCCAGGCTCCTCTTTTTTCAACTTCAGTCCCCACTAAATTGGACTCACAAGAGTCCAACCTAATTGCATTTGATGGCTCTTGTAGAGCCACCAAGACCGATGAGGGAGATCTCACCTGAGGCGCGCCTTCAATGCCCAGTTGGAGTAGGGCTTGTCCATCTTCCACCAACGTACACTTGATGGACTTTATCTGCTTGAACTCAGCCAGGCAGGTGGGCTACAGGGAATAAGTGACTCTTTATGTTCATTTAGAAAAAGGGAAACAACTAGATCTTGTTGGCTACTCAGAACCCAAGGATCAGGCCTAACTGGAACATTGGACATGGGAAGGTGTGGAGAGACTGATTGAGCAGAGAAGAGGAGGGTAGAGTTTTCCTGGGATGCTCTTACAGACAATGTTTTCTCCTTGGATCCTGGCACTGAGCAAAGTGTCTGGCATGTAGAAGGTGCTCAATAAATACTAGCTGAACTGACATGAATTAAATTTCTCTCATGGCCATCTCCTGAGGACTCTTCTATATCCCTTATTTCTTTCTACCATATCTTCCTTCATATCCTTCTATCTCATCTATTCTTCTCATGTCTGTATCTCTGTTCTGCCCTCCTCCTTCCATTGTGCCCTCTGGAATCCTGTTCTATTATTAATAAATTGCCCATCATATTAGACACTTGTGCTCCCTTCAGAAACTATTTTATAAATATCTAATATTAAATTGTCTCTGTACATGCTGTTTTTAAATGGTGTGAGGTCCTTTATTTCTCTTTTTGTATCCCAAGTGCCTAACACAGTGTCTTACACATAGTAGGTAGCACTTATTGAATGTTTATTGAATTCCCAACCCCCTTCTATGCCTTATGGAGAAGGGAATAATATAGGGGCAGCTCTGATCGCTATACCCTGAAGGGCTCCCCTCCTCCCCGTCACGTGTGCCTTATTACCCCAGGCCTACCTTTGCATCTTGACTGGTCAGCTGGCGGATGCCCTTGGGTCCGATGACCAGGTCTACAGTAATATTCCACCCTTGCTGGAAGGAAGGTAGAGAATAGAGAATAGATTATTGTACTCAATTCCTTCTCACCATACCTCAAGAACAGGCCTCCAATAAGATAAGAAGAAAACTTGCTTAAAATGGGTCAACCTTTGATTTTGTTTTGTTTTTGTACCCCTGGTGCATGCACAAAGGAAATCCTTGTGCATGCACCAGGGGTACAAAAACAAAACAAAATAATAAGCTTTTCTTATTAACTATGAAGTCTGAATGCAGATCAAAGCACATTATTTGATTTCTCTTTTTTTTGGTTTCTTCTTTCTCGTGGTTTCTCCCATTGGTTCTAATTCTTCTTTACAATATGACCAATGTGAAAATAGGTTTAATATGAATGTAAATGTTGAGCCTATATCAATTTACACACTATCTTGGGGTGAGGGAAGGGGAGAGATGGGGAGAAAATTTGGAACTCAAAATCTTATGGAAGTGATTGTTGAAAACTAAAAATAAATAAATAAATAAGTTTATTAATTAAAAAAAAAGAAAAGAAATGCTTCTTGAATTAAGTTGAATTCCATTCCTCTATTGGCTTAGAATGTGAGCTCCTTAAATTTAGGAACTTTTTGTCTTTGTATTCCCCTCACCCAGCACTCTGCATGACACATAGTAGGTGCTCGATAATGCTTGTGACTTGACTTTGTATAAGAGACTGAGGGACAGAGATTTCTTAGACTTCCAATGTCCCTCTTTGTTTTCCTTCAGCTCTGTTAGATTTCTGTAGTCCTTTTCCTCCCTCCTCAAGGAGAACCTCCCCATCCCACCTTTATACCTACCTAATACACAATAAATACACTAATAAAACAACAACAACAAACAACAAAGAGAATCATAGATATTAGAAGAGACTTCAAAATATCATCTGGTTCAGTCCCTTGGATTCAGACAGGTAAAATATTACATAACCTCATTTTATAAAGGAAACAACTGTAGCCTACTTCAGTAGATATACTTCATCTGGGTGCCCTGACCCTCAAGAACACCCAAAGCTGGGTGTTGGTTGGTTTGTTTTTCTCTCTGCTGGCCTCATTGGGCCCAGACACCGAGAAACATGGAATCTAGCACTTGGAGGGGATAAAGAAAGCTGGAGAAGAAGCCATTACTATGAGTTCACAGCGATAGGTCTCCTGGTCAATGTTGGCGAATCCGGCAAGTGTGTTGAAAAATTTCCTGACACATTCTTCTTCCTTCAGTGAGGCATACTGCTGAAAGGTTTGCTGGATCATCTTTCGGAACTGTTTGGGCTGTAAAGGAGAAGCCATAAGAGATGGAGGTGGGGAGTTGGAGCATATTGTAACTCTGCTCCTCATGATCCCTACCCTACCCTTTAAGCTACCTACCTATAGACCAGGTAAAAAAAGGACTGGAGTATAAACATGGCCAGAGAGGATGCTATCTATTATAGAAAAAATCCCCAAGACCCCACTGGTAGGCCCTATAAATTTAAACAGATGACATTACATAAAAGCATAGCTGAGAAAATCTCCTCCTTTCTATGGGCCACTCTGCTCCTAAACGGCTCTAAAACAATGAATATTCACTAGTTTCCCAAAGAAAATTTTTCCTCTTCCCTTTGCCTGACAACGAATTTGGAGAAGTTCTCTCCTCCCTCCTCCTCACCTTCAGATTCTCCTGCATCTGCTTTGGGAAAAACAGGTCCAGCCCCACCTCCTTCCTAGAAAAGAAATCAACCAATGGCAACTCATCCCAAATCCAAAGCCTCTTGTCCAATCAGAAATAAATAGGAGGGCTCGGATTTTGGGGGGAAAGGTTCCACTTGGTCCAGGAATGATTGGATCCCCCAATTTGATTCACCAAAATGGAATAAAAGTCAAGGATCTGGGGAATGGTCAAAGGGAAGAAAGGGAATGAAGAGACAGAATGGAGGGACTGTAGATACTTACTCCAGGAGCTCAAAGTTGGACTTCTTGTCAAGGGCATTGTGGGGCATGTCTTTAAAAAACCTCCTATGAAAAACAGGAGAGTTGGTGGCTAGTAAACCAAGGCTCAGCAATTAAATCACTTGTACTGATACACATTGGCCTGGGGGATCCCAAGCACCTGGGGAGACTCTGACTAGGTAGTTACAGAGTTCCACAGTCTGAATTTAAAAAAGACCCCTTCCCCCAGGGCCATTCCTAAAACTAGACCTATTGCCTATAGCTCCAGGGTGCAACGCCCCCACTCTACTGTGGCCCAAGGAGGCATCTGACAGGGAAAGAAGAGGCAATTTTGTCAGTTGGTGTGAATAAAGAATTGAGATTCCTATACACACAGAATTTTTCCTTCTTCCTATGACTAAGACGAAGCAGGTAGATATTTTCAGACATAGCTAATATAGGAATTTATTTTACTTGATAATATTAATATTTGTTATAAGGGCTTTGTTTTTCTTTTATGCGTTTTCCAGGGTGAGTGGGTAGGAGATGAGAGGTAGGGATAGAGAGAGGGGAGCAAAGAAAGAAAGAAGGGCCATAGGGGAGTATTTTTTAAAAATTCAGAGAATGGAAAGAAGTCCAGAAAAAAGCACAGACAAAAAGGATAGTTTTTAAAGGTACAGGTTGAACTTGTTATATGTTACAAAGAAAAGGAAGCTGTACATAATAGAGACTTATAGCTTCATACACAACCCTCTTCTGATATGTGTGTATGCAAATGCCCATTTTAGTGTTTGTTAAATTCAGATAAAAATCTAAAACAAATTAAAGATAAAAGCAGGTAGAACTCCCTCTTCTATTTCCTCTTCCTCTCAGTCCCCTTAGGTTTCATGTTTTGTGATATTTTTTGTTCTCTTTGAAGCTGCCCTTGATATTTATTTTAACTTGATTTCACCTAATTTTGGGGGGGGGGTACTTAGGGCTGCACTATGCTAGGAATGATCCCAGATCATATACCCACCTAGGCATGGTCTTTCTTACATAGATACTATATACTAATACACTAAGGGTCTCTAGGTCCTATTCAAAGTTGGATTATCCCAGTGGCCAGGGCTGTTCATTTCTGTGGAGAGAAGCCAAGGAAGCAGCAGCTGATGATAAGACCTTGACCTTTCCTGGTACTAAATGGCTGCTCCATATTGACCCATTGAAGTAGGTGTCCCCACTCCCACTAGACACCAGTTACTTCAGAGGTCAATCTGTCCAGTAATCCCTACTTTTTGGTGGGCCTCACATAGCTCCTCTTGGTATATTCACATATGTCTCTTCTATCCCCTTGGAAAAAGTCCTCTGGAAACCCTTCTATGCTGCAGTTAAATTAAAAACAAAACAAAACACTGTCACTATAGAAAAGATAAATAGTCAAACCATAGTAGGAAGTCTGCCTGAGATGACTATTATCCTGGACTCTTAGGATCAGAAGGAACCTTAGGTGTCACCTAGTCCAGCCTCTCGCCCCAAAAGGAATTTCCTCTTCCATATCCCTAACAGGCAGTCAGTCATCCTGTCTCTGCTGGAATATTTCCACTGATGAGGTGTTCATTACCCCACAAGGCAGCCCCTCTCACTTTCAGACAGACCTAACTAACTGAAAGAAAGTTCTTCATTATATTGAACCAAAACAAGCCTCCCATTGGCCTGGTTGCCTTGTGGAATCAAATGGTATAAAACAAATCCCTCTTCCACATGGCAACCCTTCAAATATTTGAAGATAATACCATGTCCCCCCAACACCTTCTCTTCTCCAGACTAAACATCCCCAGTTCCTTCAACTATTGCATTTAAATGAGGAAAAAAATGGCAGGGAGAATGAAGAAGAAGAGAGAATGAAATAGACAGAGAATAACAGAGACTGAAGGGTAGCTAGGTGGCTCAGTGAATAGAGCACTGGGCCTGAAATCAGGAAAACCTGAGTTCAAATCCAGTCTCAGAAACTCATTAGCCGTATGATCCTGGGCAAGTCATTTAACCTTGTTTGCCTCAGTTTCCTCATCTGTAAAATGAGCTGGAGAAGGAAATAGCAAACCATTCCAGTGTCTTTGCCAAGAAAAGCCCAAATTGGGGTAATCAAGAGTCAGACATGACTGAACAGCAATGGAAAATAGGGACTGACCAAAACAGAAAGACTCTTGTGAACTTGCCCTCTTTTCCCTACCCTGCAAGTCACTCAGTCTACAAGATTAGTGACTTTTTGGTCTCTTAAAGACTGCTTTTGATGTTCATTTTAACTGGATTTCACCTGGATGGGTGAAGGCTGGGGGGGGAGCAGAGCAGAGGAATACTAAGGCTGATGGGAACTTGGGCTTGGACACAGACAATAGTCACACTATTCTCAAATGTTAGTAACGGAGAAAAAAACTGATAGCAACAAAGTACTCAATTATCCTTTTTCTATTAAAAATATGCCATCTTAAAATAGCGATGTAAATACGAATGTAATTATGGCATAATAGTAATGAGAGAAAACACCATTTGACCTGGATTGGTCGACTCTTCCTAATCTTGATTTGTTCTCAATCGCTGCTCATATCGAGGTACAAACTTACCCTGGCTGGTTTCCTAAGTCAAGACTGTGCCCTGGCTATTTGGCAGTCAAATCTCCGGACCATTTCCTCTACTTGGTAATTACTTTGATGACCATGCTGTTGATTACCCACTCTTCCTCCACTAAACTCTTCCATTGAAATATGCCATTTATGTATAGGATGAAAGAATGAATGAGAAATATTTATTGTGTACCTATTTTAAGCCAAGCACCCTCCCCTGCTATTTCTGGGGATTTGGTTGTTTTAAAATCTTCATTGTAGGTTTATAAAGAGTATTTTATCCTCTTCACTTCTCCCCTCCCCACTCTCCTGAATCATCTAAATGTATTATGAATTGTCAGAACGGTTTCATAATAGAATCATAGGATCCAGAGATGGAAATAACCTCGTCTAATCTAATCCTCTAATTTACAGATGAGAAAACTCAGGCACAGATAATTTTGACTTGTCTAAGGTCACGAATTTAGGAAATAGAAGAAAAAATAGGAAATAGAAGAGCTCTGACTCTAAACTCTATCCACTTTATAAACTCTATTTATTACATCACACTGACTCTCTCTCCGAGTTTCCTCATATTTGTTTATTTGAAGATGGCCTCCACTCCCTACCCACCCTTACACATATCTAGAGAATCACTTAGAATCAATCAAAACTCAATAGAGGAAAAAGTCACATATAATAATACAAGTATAAATTTATCTCTGATCTGATCTAAACAAAACAAATCCCTACAGAAATGGGAACTGATTAGTCACTGCTGTCAAGGTCTCTAAAACAGCACATCTCCTGAGTACTTTCTAATGGGTTTATTGTTCTGTTTATTCAGCTTACTTAATGTTTATCTTATGTTTCAAAACTTGGACAAAGCCCATCTAACCATTAGAAAATGGAGCATTCTTATTTTCTAATGGGGAAGTTTCTGGATAGGAACCACCAATTTCAAACCCCAATTTGTGGGCAGGGAGAAGAAAGAGAAAGGAACATGAAGACAAATTAGATGCAATAATCATATTTTTATATATATGTACACATACATACATAAATACATACACATACGTACACACATACACATACATATATGTATACATACATTATATATACATATACTTCTTTTTTAAGGTGGGCAATTGAGATTTATTTGAAAAGAAAAGGTGGTAATTTCATAGCTGATGAGTTGATGTAAATGCAGTCAACATTCATTGTTATTGTTGTTGCTGTTCAGTCCTGTCTGACTCTTCGTGACCCCATTTGGGGTCTTCTTGGCATAGAAACTGAAATGGATTGTCATTTCCTTCTCTAGATCATTTTGAAGAAACTGAGGCAAACAGGGTTAAGTGACTTGCCCAGGGTCACACAGCTAGTAAGTGTCTAAGGCTGGATTTGAACTCAGGTCTTCCTGACTCCAGGCCTGATGCTCTATCCACTGTAACACCTAGCTGCCCTATAGTCAACATAGAGGATTCTTATAGAGAACCCCTTTCACCTAACCCCCAGTACCTAACACAAGTGGTCCATGATTAACTGAGCAAAGGATAATATAAATTATCTTGATCTCTCTTGGAAAAGATATTTTTCATGTAGGACCATAGACTTAGAACTAAAAGAGGCTTTAGAGACCCTCTAATTGAACCAGGTGCAGAAATAGAGGCCCAGGAATGTTAAAAGATTTGCTCAAGGTCACATGGATAATAACAGGCAGAGATGGGATCTGAACCTATGTACTCTGACTTCAGGAACCAGTGTCACTAGGAACCTATTAAGGTAGTTAATGTCTTGTCTTATTCATTCCAGGACAAATAATACCTTTATTCAGTGACTTCCTTTCAGGAAATGGAGATGGAGGGAACAGTCATGGGTCTGGTATCAATCACCCAACCAATAAAAAAACAAGCATTTATTAAGCACTTACTATACATCAGGCACTGTGCTAAGGGATGGGAATACAAAGACAAAAAGCAAAAGCAGTTCTTGCCCTTCAGGAGATTACATCCTAACAGAGAAGACAATATGTACATATATATATATATATATATATATATATGATGCAAAGTAGATACAAGGTACCCCTAGAAGGGAAGGCACTAGCAATAGAGGCAGGAGAAGTGGATCCGAAAGTGGTAGTAAAGCTAAGTCTTGAAAGAAGATATGGACAAAAGGCAGAAGTGAGGAGCAAGCACAGTCCAGGCATAGACACAGCTACTACAAAGGCATGAAGACAGGAGATGCAGCATTGTATGTAAGGAACAGTAAGACGGCTAGGACGGCCAGTGTGGCTGGGCAGTAAAGTGGATGGAGGTTGACAGAGAGGATGCTGGCACCATTGAGAGTGGTAAGGAATTTTAGAAGGTGGTGGATGGGGAAGGGGCAGGTGCAGGGAGGGAAGATACTGAATTCTGGTTTGGACTTGTTGAGTCTGAGATGCCTATGGGACATGTATTTCAAAATGTCCAAATAGGCAGTTTGGAATGCAGAAGGAGGACTAGGGCTGGATATATAGATCTGGAAGTAATCTGCATAGAGATGACAATAGAATCCACGGGATCTCAGGAGATCATCAAGTAAGAGAATAAAGTGAAAAGAGAAGAGGTCTCAGGCTGGAAACTCAAGGGTCACCCACAGTTAATGAGGGCATAAGATGGATGGGTCAAGCAAAGGACACTGATGAGGAGCAGTTAGACAGGTAGGAGGAGGGACAAGAGAGGTGGATCATGAACCCCCAGAAAGGAAAGAGCATGCAGAAGGAGAAGATAGTCAATAAAGTCAATGCTGCAGAGAGGTCAAGGAGAATGAGGACTGTCTATTAAAGGAGAAAATTAAGAGATCATTGGTACCTTGGGAGAGTTTGCATCCTCAGATCTGTAGAAATGGACTTTATACTCTAACTTGCAGAACTGTATTGCTTGGTTGCTAGTTGGCTGAATGTGTACCATGCTAAAGATATTTTGGAGAAAGGGAAGCAGGGAGAAATGATGGGGGAGGCCAAGCATACTGTCCTTGGAGGAGAAACATCTTCTATCCCACATCCTTTTGGGCACATTTTGCTAGAAAATCAGCAGTCCCTTCTGGCACGCTGGAGCAACTGAGGAGATCCTCCACTCTCCCCAGTACTCATCCCTCTCTGGGGATTTATGAGAAGTTCAAGTCATCCACAGGTAGGGTGTTGAAAATACTGGATTTGAAGTCAGAAGATCTGAATTTGAAATCTAACTGTGCCACTTACTACCTATGTGCCCTTAAGCATTTATTGGCCCTTACTGGGCCTTAATTTCCTTCTCTGTAAAATGAGAGGATAAAAAGCACTAGATGGTCTTTAAGGTCTCTTCCTGCTGTAGTGGTCCCTGCTATATTCCCATGGACATCCCTGAGCATCCTACACCCTGTTTTCTAGAACAAAAGCCAGAATTTTCTAATGACCCTCCAGTTTATAGGAATAGAAAGAAGGAGTCCCAGAATCTCCCTAAGATTTGGAATAATCAGTGAGCTGAATAGCTTTCTAATGCTATCCCCCACCCCTGACTCAGTCTCTTTGCAGCGGGCTGGGGTGGGCTAAATAGGATATGTAATAACTTGGAGGTGTAGCTAAATGACAATGTTCTGTCTCTATCACCACATAGTGCTAAGGATGATGTCTAGACACAACTGGGTATAAAGACAAAGGGAGACTGCTGAATGGAGACACATTCAGACAGTGAAAGAGCAGATAAGGACAGAATATCAGACATGAGAGGGATGCTTGAATTCATCTAACCAATCCCTTCCATTGTGGAGGTGAGGATGCTGAGACACAGAAAAGTTAAATTACCTGCCCAAAGTCACTGAAGGACTTAATGACAGTCAGCAAAGATAACGAAATTAGGCCCAGATATTCCCCCCACACACACACACATACACACCCCCTCCCAGGACTCTGTCTAATCCATCAGAGTAGAATGCTTTGCTCAGTATAGTTTGTAAATGAGGTTAGAAAGATGGGTGGATGAAACAGGCTGATTTTAGGTAACTTAGGACTAAGTGCTAAAGAAGCAAACAAAGAAACTATAGGCAAATGGAGGCGGGAGGCAGGGATAGTGGACAGAAAAATAGGTCAATATGTACTACCAAGCAGCCAAATCTTAGTACCCAAGTCTCAAATCTTTTACGATTTCTCCCCTCTCCTATTCCCTCCCTTTGACTTTGAGAAGGAAGACTGGGTCAACAGTGTACAGGGAGAACAAGAAGAGATGGGCAGTCTCTGTCCATGGTACCTGGCTCACATCCAGATGGTGCCTCAGTAAGAGACTGGAAGTCACATACCTGAGCTCCAGACAGCCCAGCTGGAGTGCCATGCCTTCACTGACCTTGCTGGCATAGCGTTGCATGTAGTCATTCCGTAGCTGTGGGGCAAAAAGGGACATCAATCAATCAATCAACCAATGAGCATTTGTTAAGTGTCTACTATGTGCTAGGCACCGAACTAGGATACTAAGACAAAAACAAATAACCCCCTTCCTAAGGAACTTACATTCTATCAGAGGAGGCAACATGTATTGTACATAAGTAAATGCAATATATATATATAAATTAATGATAAGGTAATGAGGCAGGGAAATGTACTAGTAGCTAGGGAGATCAAGAAAGGCCTCATGCAGGATGGGGCTCTTCAACTGAGTTTTGAAGGAAGCAAGGGATTCTAAGAGGCAGAGGTGAGTAGAGAATGCATTCCAGATATGGGGAACAGCAAGTAGAAATGTATTGAGAAAGAAAATGGGCCCAGACCCCCGAGCTCTTTCTCTTTCATACCCACCCTCACGAAGAGCATAAGATTTAATCTCAGTTCTGTCATTGACTTGCGATATGCCCTGGGACAAGAAACTCTCTTTCCCAGGACCTGTTTTCTTTTCTTCAAGAGCCTGGTCTTCCAGGCAAGAAAGTTCCCCAGGAAAGCAGAAGAAGCAGTGGGAGCCTTGAATATAGGGTTAAACTAGGGAGACAGAAAAATGACAGCACAGAGTCTGCCTAGGAGCCAGCTGTGACATTCTAGGATTCCAAGCTAGGGGCAAAGTGGGGAAACTGGATGACAAGGCCAGGGAATGAACACCACTGAAGAGCTACCCGGATTGGCTCTCTACAAATGCTGACCTTTATTGTGTCCTCCCACACCGGCTCCCAAAGGAAGAACAAATGAGACTCAGGGTTCCAGAAGCCTCACCTGTTGGTAAAAGTAAAGCAGCGTGGTTCTATCTTCTTTCAGGGCCTCCATGAAGTCCTCTGGTAAGTAGCGGATCTGCAGGTCATACCTGAGGCAGGAAATTCAGAACCTCTGGTCTGGGGTGGGGCAGCTGGTGCCTGAAGGGGGTAAAGGGGCCAGCAGAGGAGGGGCAGAGGCAGACAAGGAGCCTGGCATGCAGGGATCCTCTTTGGATTGTACTGGGCTTTCTCTGAGCTCTTAACCAAAGCCTGTTCCCTCCCAGGGAGACAACATGGGATGGTAGAAAGAGTGATGGATTTGGAATCCAAGGAACTGAGCTCAAAGTCTCTCTCTTCCACTTGTTATCAGTATGACTTTGGGCAAGTCATTCACCTCTCTGAGCCTCAGTCTTCTCACCTATAAAATGAGGATCTCCTCTGAGGAACCTTCCAGGGTTAGATTTATCATCCAGTGATCACTGGGGTGGGGCAGAGGGTATAGAATCACATAGTCAGGTTCCCAGATTCTGCTTTAGCACCTGTCCCATTACATGATGATTGCTTCTCTGACCACTAGTAAGAGTAATAATAATAATAACCTACATAAAGTACTTAAATTTTTTCAAATCACTTTTCATACTTCACCTCATTTAAGCCTTACAACACTCTCATGAGGTAAATGTTATGGTATTATCATCCCCACTTTACAGATGAACAGACTATGGCCCAGTGAGTTTTAGTGACTTGCTCAGGGTCATACACTTAGTGTTTCCGGTAAGATTTGACCCTAGGTCTCATAGCACTTTATTCATTAAGCCATGTTGCCTCTCTGACAGCTACCTAATTATCTTTATCTTGAGTACCCTTCAAGAGTTCCAATAGAGTCCTTATATCTTCCCAACTGAGGAAGTTTCTGGGTTACAGATCACCAGTTTGGAGGCATTGTGGTACATAGGGAAAAGCACTGGCTTTGGAGTCAAAAGACTTGGGTTCAAATCCTGCTTCTGATGCTCATTAGCTTTGTGACCTTGGGCAAGTGATTTAACCTCACTAGCTTCAGTTTCCTCAATTATCAAATGAGAAGTTGGACTTGATGGATCTTGAGTCCCTTCCAGATCTAGATTTATATTCCTAAGTTCCTATGAGGTCTGTTATATGAGAACAGTGGGCTCATGGTGAGCCCGAGACAAGCTTTCCAGAACTCAATCTACAGAAACTATGGGAGGATATGAAGGTAGGGCTCTACTCAACTTCCCTAGAATTCTTCTTTTTCCCACCTGCCTAGGGTGAGCCTTGGCTATGAGAGGAAGAACTCTCCCCTTATTGTTAATGGCTGGGGCCTTTCTAATGTTGAGGACTGGGCTGACGGTCTCTGAAAGAGCCGACCTTGGAATTGGATGGAAGGAATCCCAAAGGTCCCTGTCTTTGAATAGGAAAAGGAACCCAGAGTGGATCGAGCTGAAGCCAGGGAAAGGATGCTGAGGTCTTTCTCCCAAGCAGCAGGACAGCTAAAAACACAGCAGGGCCAGGACAAGAGATTAGTTACATGAGAGTGGAGCTAATTGGCTCAAGAAGTAGATGATGCCCCTATGGTTAGAACAGGGGAATCTTAACAAGAGCTCTGAAACTCAACAAACTCAAGTTTGTTTTTTTTTATTTTCACCTTTTTAACTTTGGTAGCAAATAAAGTATTTTTAAAAACCTCAACTCTGTCTCTGGTAGCTGTGGGGTAGAAAGTGGGGTATCATTGCTCAAGCAAGGAGAATCAGGGGGTATTCAGTACACCCTGGAGGCATGAACATGGACTGGTTGCCATGGTAGAGAGTTGCATAAGGGATTGTCCTCACAGTAGCTTTGGTAAAGTTCATTTTTTATTGTGTTTTTTTTGGTTGGTTTGGGACCAAAACTATGATTTCATTGGTAAAAGGAACTCCTCTCTACCAGCAACTCATAGTCTTAGGGAGCACCCGGTATATTGAGAGATTAAGTAATTTACCTAGGGTCACACAGGTAGCAATGATGATGATGATGGCTAGCATTTAAAGCACTACCTTAGTGCTTTAAGGCTGAGGTAGTAACCTAGTGATATTTGCCAAGTGCTTTATATCCTGTCATCTCATTTGATGGAATGTGTATGATACATACAGTAATGAAGTATTGTGTATCAGAGACAGGACTTGCACCCAGGTCTTATCCTAGGCATGAAGAGGATAAATTAAATTTAGATAGCCAAGATTACAGATTTCAAGTTGGAAAGGACAGTCCGTCTGAGGCAGCTAGGTGACGCAGTGGTTAGAGTGTTAGACTTGGAATCAGGAAGTCCTGAATTCAAATTCTGCCTTAGATACTTACTGGCTGGGTCCTCATCTGTAAGACAGGGATAACAACAGTACCTACCTCCCTGGCTTGTTGCAAGGATTAATTGAATTAACATATACAAAGTGCTTTGTAGACCTTAAAGCTCTATATAAATGCTAGCTATTAATACAGAAATCTAGCTATTTTTAAGGTCATCTAGGCAAATTCTTTCTCTTTTTATTGGAGGAAAGTAAAGCCCAGAGGTCAAGTAATTTGCCCACAAAATAAATGGCTGAGCCAGGATTTGAACCCAGGTCCAAACCCATTGTACTACACTGCCTCTTTCTGATTCTGAGGTTAGGTCTCTGGAGAAGGAAGAACACTTTTGGACTAGGGCTTCCCAAGCTGGTCCTCTTTCTGTGGTGTATCTACTATCTCAGAGTCTCAGAGAAAGCACTGGGATGATGGAGAGTTCTCTAGGCCTTCAGTCAGCCCACTCCAATACACTCTCTACTCTGTTGTTGTTTTGTCATTTTCAATCATGTCCTAATCTTCATTATTCCATTTGAGGTTTTCTTGGCAAAGATACTGGAATGGTTTGCCATTTCCTTCTCCAGCTCATTTTACGGATAAGAAAACTGAGTCAAACGGGATTAAGTGACTTGCCCAGGGTCATGCAGCTAAGAGGTGTTTGTGGCCAGATTTGGACTCACAAAGATGAGCCTTCCTGACTCCAGGACCAGCATTCTATCCACTGTACCACCTAGCTGCCCATTTCTGCTCTAGGGATTTGCTTCTCTCTCCTACCTCCATTCGGCTTCGACGTGTAGACATTCATACTTCTCCTGCACCTCTCCCACCGTCAGCTGAGGGTGCAGCCAGTGGATCTCATCAGATTTCATGTGTTTCAGTCTCAGGCCATAGCACTCAGTCAACTGGATGTTGGGCCCAATCCGCCCACTTAGCAGGATAGAGGTGATGATCTCCTATAGAAGAGATGAGAGGGAGAATATGAGACTGAGGGAGAGAAGGCAAGGATCACAGATTTAGGGCTAAAGGAGAGGGCATCTAGTCCAATGGCCTCATTTTATGGATGAGGAAACTGAGGCCCCAGTGAAGTTAAGCAACTTGTCCAATGTCACACAGGCAGTAAGCAGGAAAACCAGGATTTGAACCCAAGCCCTATGACTCTTTTCACTGTCTACAAAGGAGGGAACAGAAAGAAGAGGAAATATGGAGGTAAGAAAAGATGACATGGACAGGGGGGAAAGAAAAGGATTCATCGGTAAATTCCTGCAAGGGATTTAAATCAAAATGCCAAATATTAATTGAGTTCATATAATATACAAGGCATTTTTTGAACACAGGAGAATATTAGGAATAGAGAGTAGAATAGGGCAGAGATTGAGAGTGAAGCCTATTTGACCTTATTAGACCAAGTTCAGCTGAACTGGGCACAGTCATTGTGACAGAAGAAGAGAGTCAGGAAAACCAAGCTCATGAAAAATACCTGTTGTTCAGATTATGGCATGCAAATTCACAGACAACCTACAGAACCCATCCATATCTAGGGAGTCCCACGTGCCCGGAACACTAGATAGATAGACAGACAGACAGACACACATATAAATATATAGGCATATATGTGTGTACATTATATATAAACACATATATAGACATGCACATGTATACAAATTTATGCATATATACATACATATGTATACATATATATACATATATATATATATACAGATATATGGGACAGCTAAGTGGCCCAGTGGTTAGAGTACCAGGTCTAAAGTCAGAAAGACTCATCTTCCTGAGTTCAAATCTAGCCTCAGACACTTACTAGCTGTATGACCCTGGGCAAGTCACTTAACCCTGATTGCCTGTTTCCACACCTGTAAAATGAGCTGGAGAAGGAAATGGCAAACCACTATAGTATCCTTGCCAAGAAAACTCCAGGTAGGGTCATGAAGAGTCAGACATGACTGAAACATCTCAATAACAACAAAAACATATATACACATACATGCATATATGGATATATGGGGTGTACATATACACACACATATACAGATATGTATATGTCATACATATACATATGTACATACATCTATATCTGTATCTGTTTGTCTATCTATGGCAGACATTGCTAAAAGACAATGAATGCAAAGAGATAGTTCGTTTCTTTTCCCACATACTGTTTCAAATACAGCTAGCCAGGGCAACCGAATTGGCAATACCAGCAACAGGAGAGGGGGCTATCCTTTATCTGGACACTATTTGGCTGGTGGTTTGATTGTACCACCACCTGTTGGTCAAGTTATGCACTACAGTCTCTTAATGGTTCAAAAAGGATCATAGCTTTCTAGTTGGAAGGGACTTTAGAAATCATCAGCTAATTAACTAATTGATTAATTAGTTGACTGGAAGCCTGCTTTTCTGTAGGTTTGTCGAAAGCCAGAAAAGATCCAAGTCTGGAGTACAATTGCTACTGAAGCATCTCAAGTGTCCCCTGGGACACCAACCAAGCATATGCCTGGGGCACACCACTGTCAACGAGGTAATAATAACTGACATTTATATAATATTTTAAAGTTTTCAGAGCACTTTACATGCATTATCTCATTCGATCCACCTAAAAATCCTGTGAGGCAGATGCTAGCATTATCCTCATTTTACAAATGAAGAGAGACTAAGTGATTTGTCTGTGGTTGCACATCTGTTAAGTGAGGTGAGAGTCAAATTCAGTTCTTTTTGACTGCAAGTACAGTGTTCTATCCTCTATGCTACACAGAGGATGCTGAAGGGCCAATCTATATAATCATTGCGTTCCCTATCCTCATTTTTAAAAGGAGGGAAACTGAGGCCCAGAGAGATTAAAGTGACTAGCTTAGACTACACAGGTAGTTAGTGGTCAGGTTCATTACTCAATTCTCTTAAACTGTCTACCTATAACTAAATAAATTCTCCTAGTACTTAGCAGAGCACCTGGCATATAGTTGGTGCTTAATAAATGCTTGTTCATTTACTGACCCTTCCACTAGTAGAGTACCTTACAAACTGCAATGGGCACCAGAAACCATCAATAACAGACCCTCAGAGTCTGCAGAGATAATACCAAGCAGGGGGTCAAAGAGGCTGTTAGCTCTGAAGTAAGTTCCAGCTCTAGTTCTAATTTACTTTAATTCAACTAAATCCAGCAAGCCTTTATTTAGTGGCTACCATATACATGGCACCGTGCTAAGCAGGCCCTGGAAATACAATACGGAAATGAAAAACAGCCCCTGAAAGGAGATTACATTCTTCTGGGGGCTTTTACACAGTTAAGTAAGTACAAGGTCATTTGAGGAAGGAGAAAACACTAAGACTAGGGAGAGCATAAAGAAGGGCTTCCTTCAGGAAGGGGCTCTTCAGACAAGCCTGAAGAGAGACAAGGATGCTAAGGCTAGAATTAAAGAGAAAGGGTGTTCTAGGAGTATGGAATCACCTGTGCAAACGTACGATGGTGGTAAATGGAATGATGAGTTTGAGGAACAGTAAATAGGCCAGTTTAAAGGGAAATGGAAGAGAACGTGCATTTATTAAGCACCTACTATGTGCCTGTGCTTTATAAATACTATATCATTATCCAGTTTAGTTGAAACAGATATTGCATGGAAGGGACTAATATGAAATAAGTCTGGGAAAGTACTCTGGAGCCAGACTATAAAAGGTTCTAAACTTCAAATTGAAGAATTAGTATTTTATCCAGGAGGAATAGGAGTCAATGAAGCTTGTTAGGTAAGGGAGTGAAACAGTCTGCCTGTACTTTAGGAAGAGTCTAGGGGTAGCTTTATGGAGGATGGATTGGAGAGGGGAAAGCCTAGAACCAGGGTGCTCCTGAAGTATTTCAGGCAGAAAATGATGTAGGACTAACCTGGGATGTTGACCACATGATGGAGAGAAGGGGACAGATAGTAGAGATGTTGAGCACTACTTTCCATTTTCATAATGCAATTCTGGATGTTTCACTCCCGTGTCTTGGTCAGAGTCATGTGTTAGATAGAAGGACAGCCTTGGAGTCAGAAAGACCAAGATTCAAGGCCTACCTAGGACACATAATGGCCATGTGACCCTGGAAAAGTCACTTTACCTCTATCCTAAGACCCTAAGGGCAGCTCTTTAAAACTGTGTTGGAGAAAAGTATCCATCTGCATTGGTACAGGGAGGTCCCTGCACTGATAAACGCTCAGGTCCAAAAACAAATGGCAATTTCACATAGGCTCATAAGTTCCTAGATCTACAGTTAGCATTTCTTTATATAGTATCTTAAGATTAACAAAGCACCTTATATAGGTTACCTCATTTACTCCTCACAACAACCCTGGCAGGTAAGGACTAGCATTATTCCCATTTTATAGATGAGAAAATTGAGGCTGAGAGGTTAAATGCTTTGACCAGGATCACGCAGCTAGTCGGTGTCTGAAGCAGGATTCAAACTCAGGTCATCCTAACTTCAAGTCCAATGTTCTACCCAGGGCACCACCTGCTGCCTCATAAGCCATCCAGTCCAACCTACTCATTTGACATAATAATAAGTAACATTTATACAGCCCTAAAGGTTTATAAAGGCTTTACAAGCATTATATGACTTGTAGATGAGACCTCCCAAATGTATTCTCTCCGCTATTAGAATGTGAGCCCCTTGAGGGCTGGGGATCGACTCTACTTTTCTGTTTGTATCCCTAGTGCTTAGCATGGGTGCTTTGTATATAGTATGTCTACAATAAATACTTTTTAATTCATTCATTTGTTACCTCATTTGATAGTCAAAGTAGCCCTACAAGGTAGGTGTTATTATTACCTCAGTTTTACTGACAGGGAAACTGAGGCTCAGAGAGTCTAAGTGACTTGCCCAAAGTCACAAAGCAAACAGCAATTGTCTGTGGTAGTAGTGGAACCCAAGAATACCTGATGTCTAGTCCAGGACCCTACTTACTATACTATGCTATGCAGTGGCGTTGGGGGGGAGGCAGATAGAAAGAAGAGAGAGGAGAAGAAAACAGGAAAGAGAAGAGAGAGAGAGGGCAGGGGGAAGAGAAGGAGGAGACAGAAGGAGAAGGGGAAGAGAAGAGGAAAGAGTGAGAAAGAGGGATGAGAGAGGGGGTGAGAGAAGGGGAGACAGAAGGAAGAGAGGAGGGAAGAGAAGGGGGAGACAGAGGAGGGAGGGGGAAAAGAAGTGAGGAAAAGAGGAAGGAAAGAGGGGAAAGAGAAAGAGGGAGAGGGAGGGAGGAAGAGAAAGAATGAGGGAGAGGGGGGAAAGAAAGAGAACACATTAACAATCAACAAATATTTTAAGCACCAACATTTTAGACCAGTGTCATACCATGTGGTGCCCTTAGGCGATGCTGAACTGTGGTATAAGGAAGTATTTGCAGCTTGTTTCTTTTTAATCAAGGAGAAAAGGGAAAAAGAAAACTTAGTGGGGGAGTAGGGATTTCAAGAGATCCATCAGAGGAGGAGGAGTGTTGGACAAACTTGGCAAGATTCAGAGACATTCCTGGTACAGAGTGTTCAGATAGATAAGGGACAGGCATGGAGGTTGTAAACAGAGAAAAAGTGAGAAAATGGAAGACTGCCTATGAGTGACCCCAAGAAGTCCTTTGGCAAGACCTATCTGTTGACCCAGGGCCTGGGTTTTAATCTTACTGTGTGGGAAGAGGGGAGCTGCCATTTCCTGGAGTAAAGTTTCTTGTGGCCAGGCTGCAAGGAGTCTGGAGTGGGTAGGGTCTGTGTGAGTGTGTGTGAGTGTGTGTGTGTATGTGTGTGTGTGTTTGTGTGTGGTGTGTGAGTGTGTGGGCTGTGTGTCTGTGTGTGAGTGTGTGTGTGTGTCTGTGTGTGTGTGCGTGCGTGTTTGGTTAAGCAGGCGCCCGACCTTTTGGCACTAGAACCACAGGAAGCCAGATGGCTGCCTCTGAAAAGGACCCATAAAATGAAAAGG